GATCAGGCATGATCACAGCCGTAACAAGTACAAGTAAGTACAAGTACAGTCTGTAAATGTTCACCCTCAGATCGGCGCTGTTCAGCACGTGTCTTTCTCCGAATATGTAGTTGTTCGTTAGGGTGCCATCGAAGAGACGTATTCAGAGAATTTAAAGCATACAACTTCCGTCGCACACCCCCACGCGACGGGCATCTTCAAAACCCACAGATCACGTCCCAGGTTTTTAAGAAAGAGCTGCCCTGGGCCTTCTTTCAAATACGTAAAATTTTGTTTTTGGGCATTCCGACCTCAATTCCAGTGATTTAGAAGACGTCCATCCCGGAAATCGCACTAGAAGCCATCCGCGGCGTCATAAGCATAACCCAAACACACAGTATGCAACCCACAATCCATATGTCCCCGGAGTGGTTTGCCTCTGCGTCTTGAGGAAACTGGGGTGACAAATAATTAAACACTATCAAAAGAGCGTAGCCCTAGAAAGAGGGGGACGAGGGAGAGGTGGGGCCAATAAACTCAAACATGGCCCCGCGTTACCGCAGAATTAGAAAGACTGCACGCTCCATGTCGCTCGTTGCTATATTTAACTCACTGGTAACCAGCCCTTGTTTTCAATCGATTAGGCTGTCTGTGGTGAAAACTTAACTTTCACTTCTCGTAACCGTGCATAAACGGAGTGTCTTCAATCATTATTTCTGAACAATTAGGATTATGATATTTATTTTGTCGCACACAGACTGACTGCCTGAATAGGCTGCCGTGATCCATCGTGTCAGAAATATTATCCGACCCGAATTGATGGCGTCCATTTTACACCTCCCTCTATTCTATTTCTTAATTCTCTGCTAACATTTGGTGGTCTCCGTTTCGAACATCTTGTTAAATAGAGAATTCATTCTTCATGTCTCCTTATTGAACTCAGTATGCCTTTTTAACTATTATAGTTGTTTATTTATCTGTTCTATGAAAAGTAGCCTAAAGACGTTATCATCGCTTCAGGTATCCTGAACTGTATTTTTTGTCTAATAAACATTTCAGCCCTCCCACTGTTGCCTTGTGTCTTGGACTTACACCTAGTTTCTCAACCCTTCTGGATAGTTTCTTGAAGAGTACTGAGTATGCTGGGTTCATACTTTGGCGACACCGCCAGTTCTGCTGCTCCGAAGACCAAGGCTGGCACCCTCTCCTCGTCAGAATATTCCCTGCCGCCGATACTCGAGAGTTTTCTCACGAAACCCTCCCCTGGCCGTTATCCGTCCTCGTCCCCTTCCTCTTCCGCTGTTCTCATTCCCTCTTCTGACTCCGGTAACCCTCCCAATTCCGAATCCCGGTTATCCTCGGTGCGCCGTTTTTTCTCCTTCGGTCCAGCCTCCGCTGACTCCTACGAACCAGACATCTTCCGGTCTCTTTCACGGCGTCAGCGACTATTCTACTTCATTATCTCTCTCCTCTGTGCTTCTCTCCTCTTCTCCTTCTCTCTCATTTTCATTCCCCTGCTAGCAACCCCCTCGGGCATGCGCAAGTTCGTCCTAATGTATGTGCTAGGCAATGTTGCCCTCCTCTTCAGCCTGGCCTTTGCCTACGGACCCTGCACATACATCAAAAGTCTCCTCACTCCCCAGCGTTTCCCCTCCACTGTTGTCTACGGATTCAGCCTCTTTCTGGGTCTCTATGGTGTTCTGGTATGGCGCAGTGCCGCATGTGCTGCCCTGGCTCTCATCACTCAGGTGGGGCTAGCTGTTTGGAATTTGCGCCAGTTTCTCTACAGTGGTGGTCAGATGTTGTCATTTTTCAATAAGGTCTCTTCAATTCCCATACCGGGCATGAGGGATTCTTCATCCACCCTGCCAGTGTAGGGATGCCTCTTCCTCGTTTTTGCGATGATCTCAGCAGAACTACGATTGACCCTTTTCACTTGCGTGTTTTTTGATTGTAACTTGTGCCAATTACTTTTCACGATTATTTTTTATTTTTTGTCTCCGGAGATTTGGTTTAATAACATACACTGATATACAGTAGGGGACTTATTCTACCATTATTTTGGAGGTATTACTGATAAATACAAGTATTGGAGGCTCAGTTGTTACTAGTCAGACCTGGAGAACCCAAGTTTGGAAACCTGATCGAACTTATTGCCCTACCTATCTCTATCCTGCGATCAGGAATGTGGAAAGTTAAATAGGTTTGCCGGACACCGAGCTTATGCGATGGAATCGAAACGGTTGATGCATAGTATAGTTCTGATATGGAGTCGTTGTAAGCGGTCACTTGGTGATCGAAGAGTTTCGTCAGCCATGATGAGGCAAAGTGGAGTATTCGTCTCTGACCTACTTGCCCTCGTCAGTCAGTCAAAACGGAACACAGTTACTTTATTATCTAGTCGGGCTAGACATATCCTCGTTCTTGCACTTGGTACGGCTGTGATCTAGCCGGCCTCGATGATTTCACTGATTTAATCTCTTTACGCTCAACAATCCGCGAGAGCGGATCTGAATAGTTCAAGCCATCCTCTTATCCAGCCACGAGTACTGAATGCCAAAGAAGCACCTCCATGTCCGACAAACTTTGCCAAACCATTCTTTGAGTTGACTTCTTCGACGCATTCAAGTGGGCAACGGCACCGGGATGTTGAGTTCGGGAGACAGACGATCACAGACGTGCCCAAACCATCTCAGCCGCCTTTATTGAATTTCCTGGGATATCCCCTTGTTTTTGCAGCGCGTGCGGACTAACTCATTTTAGACGACGTATGCATAATTCATCTGAGGAATGCTTCTTGGGCAACGATGATCAGTTACCTTCACTTTTCACTCTTCTTCCATGCACACAGCCCAACCTTAGCAACCATAGAAAACAACTGCCCGAACAGATGCGCGGTACAAGCGGATCTTCCTGACGATAAGGTTGTCGCGTTGGACCCATACACACCTTCTAGGGCTTGAGAAAACCTGACGAGCAGCATCGACTCTAGGGTGCAGGTAATCCTCACTCCGTTTATCCGGCAGGAAAGGTGCTCCGAGATATTCCAATGTTTACTTCCCCAAGTTGGCAGTCATTAATATTAAGAGATGCCTTTTCGTGGCCATTGATGCAACTTCAGCATTTAGGGATAAACTGAAAGATTCTGCGACTTCTTTTACCCATGAGGTCGTCGATTGTTGCTCACCAAAGTGTGAAGCTAGCAGGGCGATATCAGTTAGCCGACGTCCTAGTGTAAACTCAACACCGTCACCCCTTGTGTAGGACCCTCACGAGAACCTAGTCTATGGCGATAGGATACAACCTTTTCGAACCCCAGACTAAATATCGTACGATTAGGTCAGATTGTTATGATCCAGAACTCGCGTAGTTGTGGAGCGGTAGTAGGCCTTGGTCATTGTGATAACTGTTGCCGGTACGCCATCGGATATCATTAGGCGCCAGATGGACTCACAATAGACGGAATCAAACGCAGTGGTGAAGTCAACAAAGTGGACGGTCGTCGGTTGCTTTTGGTTTTGGCCAAATTCAAGAATGCGCCTCAGTGTTAATATTTGGTCCACATATTAGCATCCTGCTCGGAATCCGGTCTGGTTCGTCATCCTAGAGTTAGGTGCAGGGAATCCCTTGAGAAGAACAATAGCCAAGACCTTCGCAACAGCGTCGCATCTTGTCTTATCTCTCTTCATGGGGGTAGCTTACTACGATTCCACCGTCCCACACTGCCCAACAGTGTGGTGGCTCAGGGGCGGTAATTTGCGCATGATGTAGTTTATAGCGGCATTGGCTCCTTCTTACTCCCTGGTTTTTTTTTAGCAACCCCTATGTGTGCGTCGTGCTGTGGCGCGTGCACACGGGTTCTCCGACCCTCTCAGTCACTGCGCCCACACACATCAGACAGCTAAGCGACTCGGACGGTGGCCTAATTTTGGGGTGGAGGAAAAAATAAGTTTGATTGCTCAGCGCACCTTCCTCACTATCAAAAAAAGCTGATACGTTTGAAGCTATCACGTTGCGCTAAAAGCCCTGGCTTGAAGGGTTACCGACTGACGGGATAGTTCGGACCGCGCTGTCAGTCCAGTTTGTGTTTGCGCAGCGGGGCTAACTGAGAGTC